AAGTGGGATTGCTGGGTCATAGGGGAGCTCTATGTGGAGTCTTTTGAGGAACCTCCATACTACTTTCCAAAGTGGTTGAACAAGTTTACACTCCCACCAAAAATGCAGTAGGGTCCCCTTCTCTCCACACCCCCTCGAGTATCTGTTGTTATTATTGTTCTTGATTTTAGCCATTCTAACTAGGGTGCGGTGGAAACTTAATGTTGTTTTGATTAGCATTTTATGGCTAGGGAGGTTGAGTATTTCTTCCTGTGTCTATTAGCCATCCTTCTTTCCTCTTCAGAGAAGTTTCTCTGTAAGACTCTAGCCCACTTATTTATTGGGCTGTTGTTTCTTTGAGGATTTGTTGTTGGGGGCTTTAATGTTTTAAGTTCAGGTATATTTTAGGTCTGAGACCCTAGTCCATTGTATGGCTAGTGAAGATCTTTCTGTATTACTCTTTGAATAGCTTCCTCATGTTCACACAATTCCTGTAATTCTCTGACTGTTTTCAGCTTGCTCAGACAATTCCTGACTTTCTCTTTGACTGTTCTCAGCCTGCTCAGGCAATTCTTGTATTTCTGTTTCACTGTTCTCAATCTGCTAAAGCAATTCCTGTACTAATCTTTGAGTAGCTTCCTCATGCTCACGAGATTCCTGTTAATCTTTGGTTTGCCTCCTCTTGCTCCCTATCATGCTCACACTGAGTCCTTTGCATGTTTTCAATCTTTTCATTCACCATGTTTACTAGTAGTGTTTGTAGAGCTTTTTGGAAAATCTCTTCTGGATTACTTATTAACTGTTCTGTCACCACATTATCATGTTTGGGAGTTGAGATACCCGGACTTGCCATTCTTCTTGTGTTTCTCTGGCTTGTTCTACCTATTTAGTATGAAAGTAAATACAATTTTGTGCTAGAACACTATTTTAAGGCAAGCATCAACCAGAGTCCTGTAGTTGCATAGTCAAAGAGCTGCAGATACAATCTAGTTCAACAGATACAATCAATTCACCATCAAACAACTATGGGTAAATGAGCTAAGAACAGCAGAGAAGGATTTGGCAAACTAGAAATTTATTAGCTTTAGGGAGAAATATGGGGGAAAATAGGATTAGAGGGATGTGGAGAGGTAAAAAGAGAGTGAATTTAACCAAATCATAATCTCAGAGAGAGAAATGGATTGGACAGATCATAGAACAGAGATTTTTAAAAAGGAAGAAAAAATGGGAAAACAAAATTTAAATTTAAAAAGTGAAACACTTAAAATTATTTAAGTTTAAAGAAATGATATTTGAGAAGAAAATGATAGAATGAAAGGAAGGGAGGGATAGAAAGGATAGATGAAAAACTAAAAAATAAAATGCTTAAAATCGGTTACTTGAAAATTATGTAGGTTAAAGAGATAATACTGCTGTTAAAGGAGTTAAGCCTAAGAGGTTGTAAAATGAGCAAAAAATTCCTGGATTAAGTATGTACACAATGTGGAATAAGGTCTAGTAATTGATGACAGGTAAATATCTGGGGGTGAGCAGAACAGCAATTAAGTCACAGAA